CAGTCGTAATTCCGTCGGTTTGCATGGCCGTCGGAAATCCGTCGGTAAAAGTGCCGTCGGAAATTCGTCGGTCACCACCGTCGTCGGAAATCTGTCGGTTTGCGTGGCCGTCGGAAATCTGTCGGTAAAAGCTGCCGTCGGAAATCTGTCGGTCACTACCGTCGTTAGAAATCCGTCGGTAAAAATTTATGTCGGAAGTCCGTCGGTCACCACTGTCGTCGGGAATCCGTCGGTAAAAATTTCCGTCGGAAGACCGTCGGATTCCAATCGCCGACGGAATTCCGACGGAGTTTCGACGGATTCCGGTTATCCCTTTTCCGTCGGAAATCCGTTAGGTTTTTCCGACGAATTTCCGATGAGATATAACCGACGGACCAAAACCGTCGAAAATCCCTCGGAATATGGGTTATTCCGACGGATTTACGACGGTTTTGGCCGTCGGAAACGACCTTGTTTTCTTGTAGTGTAATTAAAGAGTTTGTGCTTCTTGATTCTAATTAAACTATCAATCGACTGATCTTTTGTTTTAGCTAGCTAGTGTTATCTCGTTTTGAATGTCCGAATCTAAACCCATATGGTAGGAGAGTATTCTCTTCTTGAATCTAATTAAATTTATAAACTTTAGTATTATTTTACAAACAAGATGTTTTTTTTTTTTTAAAGAAAATGTGAGACACTACAACCAAATCTTTGCAGTGAATAGTGATCAAGAAATTGAATTTAGTTTTTCAAGCTACATCACCAAATGAGTCTCTCAAAACTACCAATGGATTTAGGTTTAGTTTATCAGTTTTCGTGAGAACCGGAATTAGAGCGACATTTAACATTTCATGTTATACATAGATCAGTCGATTCCTGACCGGGGATTACATTATGGTTCGATCAGTTCAACCAACCGGTCGGAAACCGTAACTGAGTGAGTGAGACGAGCCTAACAAGTGTATTGGGCCTATGCAATATGTTGGTTTACTCTTCTGTTCACTACTCCCCCGATTCGACCGCGTTTTCTAACCAGATCAGCGTTTTCCAAAACGCATTTGAGATCAGTCGATTTCCGTGATAACCGGAACAGACCGGGTCTTAGATTATTGGGCCTATGCGATATATTGCTTTCATTGGGCCTAGAAGGCCTTATATACCCTCGGGATTACGAAAAGTCAAAAAGTGTTAAATGTAATTTATTATAGTAATAAATGATTATCTATCTTTTTTCTTTTCTTTTTTGTCGTCAAGGTGATTATCTATCTAACCCCGCTATATTAAGCGTAACCGAGGCTGATCAGAACTCAAAAGTCACTCTCAGTCACA